TCAACAGCGTGGGTTTTAGCACTGGCTCGTTCTAGTTGCTAGAGCAACGTTTGTAAAGCCAGACACTGAAAACCACAGTTGTCTGCCCAGTGCTTTCACACCCTCTAGTGGTGCCCAAGAAGGGAAGGAGTAAAGTAGCAGCCTGTTCTTTGAGACATGAGGTCTGATAGTTTTAAAGACGAGGGCATTGCAGAAGTGAGTTGCAGAGACACAGGAATGAATGCGGGTAACAAGAGAGGACAGACCCGTCGAGAGCATGAATCTCCACTCTCCTATGGTGTGCTGAATGCCTTTTTCTGCTGTCAGTAAATGTCTTAAACCCCTTTGCAAACTGTGGATGCTATGCCTAAGAGAGCATAGGAATGATCCATAGAAAGAACAGAAGTCTGTGATTAATAACAATTATTCTATTTATTCATGTAGTTTATAGTTAAACAGTCCTAACCCTGCTCATGATCCAAGCTGAAGTTTTATGTTGTTTTCCATAATGGACTCTCCATATTGCAGTTTGTTAACAGAACCCCCACGTCCTCGAGAAACTACAGCCCCAAAAAAAGAAAAAAAAAATCTGCTTGAAAAGAAGGCTGAAAAATCAAATGCTTAAAAGCACAGAATGTCAAGAATCCTGACTGCTGACTGAGCAGTGTTAATGAAGTCCTCTTATCCATGCTTGTCACGGTAGGGATATCAATTCACGTTTATGAAGGTACAGACTTTGATTACCTGCTTACATATATTTTTACTGTGACACACTCAATTAAAACAACATCTCACCTCAGAAACCGGGCTAGCTTTCTTGTTGTACAACTTAATCTCTAGGACGTTTCTAAAACCTACATACTTTTGTGCCGCCTTCACTGAAAGCATGCACCCTGAAAGAGGGAAAGTGCTTCTTCCTCTCCTCTGTCCTCTGGAAACCATACCGACCACAGAAGATATAAGCAGGATAACTCGTGCAGATTCATGCAGTCATTCTTGCTACTGGGTGAAAAACGTATTTTTCTTCTGAAATCTCTCTTATGCTTTATTTCCATTCTGTTCCCGGTATTGTCTTTAGGTTTCTATTGTGAGGAGGAGTTGCAGGAGCTCCCTCTGGTGCACGCAGTAATATTCGAAAAACGCGTGAATCGAGTTTGTGGAGCTTACAGGCTCAAACGTCCCCTTTATAGTTTTCATGTAATGACTTCAGATCCTCTAGACTGGAAGCTTATTGGAAATTATTTATCTGAAGGTGTTTTGTATAGCAGAGGTCCTATACGACGTGCTAAAATACACATCTGAAAGTCACCTTGTCATCCATCATCTTCCCTGGTTAATTTGATGTGATAAAATGTAGTCTTTACTGAATTTTCACTTCCAAGAGCTTAGATGCCATACTGAATTGTATGCATTTAATAATTGGGGTGATTGTGAAACCATGATTTGCTATTTTATCAACTCTAAATGCATTTAATAAAACTTTATTGAAAAGATCTTTCAGTTAACGGAGAAGGACGTAATCTAAGCATTAATCCTCAAAATATTGCAACTTACAACCTTGCCAGGCAAATGAATGTTCACCTGTTTAAATTTTCAAGCACTTAAATGTGGCTCTGGGTATTTGAAAGAACACTGTTTGTGAAGATGACATCACATTCACTAGATGCAACCTTGAAGAGCCTGCACAAGGCACCAGTAATAATCATGTTCATTCCACGTATTAGCTACTTTAGCAATAAACACAATGGTTTTACTGATGATTTCCCTATGTTTCCATTTACTTTTCCCAGATAACCGAGAAGAAAGCTTATATTTTAACATACTCGGTAGACTGTCAGGTGTGGAATTCGATAGAGCATCAGCAGAATGCTAAGGGAAATGTTTCACATGCTCATGAAATTGTGAGCCTACAAGAAAGAATTAAAAGACAGAAAGAGCAGGAAAGCAGGCAG